TCATGTTTGAAAGATGGAAAAGATTACGAGAGAATGCTACGTCATAATTCCATCAAGTTGTTTTTTTGAGGACCAATTAGACATGACGAATATGGTAGTAGGTGTTGCTTTTGTCACTTCATATTAACCAAAAAAGCAAAAAACATGTAAAAATACTTCATCAATTCACTTGATCCAAGAATACCTATCTCACTATATATTGGAAGCCTGCTGCACGAATTTCGTTTACATATCCTGTCTGCTTATATCTGGCTACCAACTCTTTGATCACAAGTTAATGCATTTGTTACTATGACCAGAACAGGAAGTCACTTTCCCCAAGTTACACCAATCAGCACTGTCTCAGCTTGATTGCATGCACATTGAGTACTGATTTTCTATTAAGCTATTCTCTTCACATGTTGTTTTTACTTTATCATATCCAACATGTTGTACAAGCCATATCTGGAACACTAGGAACACAAAGCTGTTTAAGAACTGCTCCTTGTATTTAACGTACATTTTGTTGAGGTAGAATGACAAAGGTGAACAGATCAAAAGAAAATGTTGGATCATGTACTAGAATGGAGTCTTAACCATCAAATTTATCATAACAACGACATGTATTGAAATGTTACGGAGTCTACAACTACGTTTGCTACTCCTATGACGGATGCCTCTTTTTGCATACTTCTGGATTCTTTCAAATTAAGATTCAAAAGTTTTTATGTATAAAATGTTTAGCTATGCAACTAAAATTGCACAACTGACCTAATGATGACTTTTCAAAGAAAAAGGCTATTTCTCTCAATGCAGATTGAGGTGAATCTGACCCATGAACACAATTCCTCTGTAAATCCAGGCCACACATGGCTCTGATGCTGCAGGAGAAGCAAAAAGAACTTCATAAATAAATAACAATATAGCAAGAAATATGCTTGAAAAGTTCTCTACAAATAATGACTTGGAAAGTGGATGAGAAGAAATGAGATTGGCAGAAGAGAACAGACTAGTAGAGGACAGCAAAAAACCTGTGAGGGTGTGTAACCTTAGCTGTCTGGGCATCTGTTGGTCCAATTAAAGCACGCCAATCAGCAACAGCATTTGCCTTCTCCAAAACCATCATCAACACCGGACCACTGACACAAAGAAAGAACATGAGGGAGGGAGGCCCGGGAGGGGGGGGGGAGATAGAGAGAGAGATGCCAATTCGCAAGAGCAATTGCCTTCTCCAAAACCATTATCAACACTGGACCACTAAAACAAAGAACATGAAAGCAAATGTTGTGGGAGAAAAAATTTGTTTTAAAAGGTCCGAGGCCATCTTTTGGAATCTCCAATTATTGATAACATAGACTGTCTTGACCAAGTCATCATGTTCAAGTCTGGAATTTGGCAAATTCACATACTGCAATGCAACTCAGATTACCACATGCAAAGGCCAATTGGTTCTTGAAATAGTTGAAAGGGGAAAAAATAACCAGATAAAGATTTAAAAAACCGTGTAAAAATATTGCATCACTTCCGTAAATCAACAATAGAAGATACTGGAGCAATCTCAGTTGCAAATCTACAAGCTTGATTTGCCATTTTGCATTCGAATTGAAGTCCAAAGTCAATTTGTAATAAAAAAAAATTATAATAAGCAGACTGCAAATACCACATTAAATTCCTACCCATCTACCAAGTTAAAGGGCTTGAAATGATTCACGAGGCAAGAATACCTGGTCATGTACCGGACAAGGCCTGGAAAGAAGCTTCTCGAGGAGTGCTCAGTATAAAAATCCTTCACAGTCTCCTCATCGAGCTGAACCGTAGTTTCATTGGTGATGCCAAAACCAAACTCTGAAATGATTTTCTTGATAGCAGTAGTGTAATTTCCAGACACTCCATCTGGTTTTATCATAGCAAATGTCAACTCTTTTTCCGTACTTGATTCCGCAGAACACCTACATTAGCATGGGGTTCATAGCTCATAGCTCAAAAATTAGCATGTAGGCATAATTAAGGAATTGCATTGGTATAAAGTTCACAACTTGGATATTGGCATATAAGTGAAAAATCTCATTGGAATAAAGCTCGTAACTTGGAAATTAGTATAACAATCACAATTCATGAAGCTCATCTCTAGGAAACTAGTAAATCACATTCTTCGAGTTAATTAATTGGATGGAAATTGCTATAGAGATCACAATTCATAGAGCTCATACCTAGGAAACTAGTAAATCACTCACATTCTTAAAGCTCATTAATTGGAAGTTGGAATAGAGATCAGAATTGATAATTAAAAAATTCATCAACAGATAAAGTATCTACTTACGGGAAATGCAATTGCAGAAAACACAGAAAGAGGGGGGGTGGGTGTTGGGAAGATCCAGCTCGTGACAGTAGAATCTGCTTACGTTTGAAGACAAGGCAGTATTGAGACGAGAAGGAAAAGAAGCTTGAACTCTTCGAAGAACGTAATGAAGTGAAGATCCATTTCACAGCATCAAACTGATTGAATACCCAAAAAAAAAAAAGATCATTACACGGGAGACATACAATATATCATTTTTATGCTTAATAAAAACCAGGAAAAAATGACGGTTTAATCACCTCTAGAAGATACACAAATAAAAAAATGATTGTTTAATCATCTTTAGAAAATACACAAGTCACTCTCTTCAACATCGACTTCAGAAGCTGGTAATTATAACTGAAATGGGTACCGAGGAAATTGACTTCCAGTAGAGAAAGTCAATCTTTGGACTTGCGTTAGAAGTAGGCTCCAAAAAATAAAAATAAAACATCAAGTCCCGGAACGTATTTTGTTTCTCAAACGACTCCATCATTTTTTCTTATGAAGGACAATTAATATCAAAATCTTCCCATTGGCACCATTGCTGCCTTCATTACCACTTATGATTCTTATAATCAATTCTGGGATGGATTTTAATTCTTATGATGAAACCATGGAGAATCTGAACAGAAGTTTGCTAATATCTCCTTGCCAAGAAAATGAAAATGGGACCCGTGTGTAAGATTGAAAGGCGCTGAAATTGTATACTATGTTGCAGCAGCCAGGGAAAATAAATTCTAGCAGCCTATAAGATTTAACAATGGTTTTCTAGTAAAAAGAAACGAAGAGAATTGATAATTGAGCAGAAAAGAGAAAAAAAAAATAAAGAAAGAAAGAGAAGTGATTTACCTGTGAATAGAGGAAAATTTAACTGGGCGAAAAATATACTAAAAGTATCTGTTTGTTAATACTCGCGGGGGCTCTTGTGTTTTGACCGGCTCCCGAACGAACAGGACTGAGTTTACGGGACGATGTCGGGCGGTGTCAGAGAGGAAAAAACATTCGCTATTTGTTTTCCGCCGAGGATTCCGCCAATCAAATCAAATCAAATCCCCTTCTGTCTTTTTTTTTTTTTTTGGTCTTCATATTTTTGAGATTACAATTATCTCCTTATATATTCATGTGAATTAGTAGTGAAGCTAAATCAAGTAACTTTACTTATGCTCATGAGCTACTCTGTCAAGATCTCAACTTGAGTTCGAACTATTTGTCTAAAGTTACGAGTCGAGTTCGAATTCCATTCTTGTACTTGAAGTTCCACGAGGCTAACCAAAATTTTTAAAATATATATACGTAGTGGGGCAAATCTGCACGTGACACGTGTTAGCTCGGCAGGCGTCGGGTCGGCAGTGGAGACCCCACAACTCGCGGGCGCCAGCTCGGCATGCGGATGCTAGCTTGGCCTTACCTGTTGCTCCCTGAGATGGTCCTATGGGCCGCCGCCTCCGAACTTGTAGGAGCCGCCACACGAAACCCTAAGAAGACTCCGAACCCTACGGGGATTCTGACTTTCACAAGGAAACTACAACTCACTCTGCCCTATATAAACCATGTCTAAAGGACAATACAAGGCACGCATACACAAGTATTTTCTACTATTACTCTGTGGACAAGCTTGACTAACTTGGCCGTCGGAGTTATTCCGGGGACACCAGTCCCGCGCTTGACCTTCCTTTGTAGGTGCAGTAGCTCGGTTTCCACTCCCAGGTCGCCTGCGCCTGATCAGCTCGGCTCGATACAGCTCAGCTCGGATCTGGTTTTTGGCAGTCGCATCAATATATTTTAATTATTATTGTAAAATGTTAATTATATTCTTTTTTAAAATTATGTGTAAATATTAATTTTTATTAGTTGAGATCGATTAGAGTTGAATAAGCTCGATTGAGTTTAATTAGACTCAATTTAGATTTAGTTAAACTCGAGATCAAGTAAAATAAACTGAAATCGAGCTTGAGTTTGACTTTCAAAAGCTCGACGAGTTTGAATTGAAACTCAATTATTCTATCTTGAGTCGAGTTTGAATAGTACACTATTCAAATTTGACTCGACTCGAGTGCACTCCTAGTGTAAATTATCAGGAGAAGTCATTATTGTCTTTTCAGAAGTTTATCAAGGTCTATGACATATGCCAATTCTCAAAATGTAATTGGGATTTTGTGAGCGTCAAGTGTACAATTCCTCTGCCTCTTGTAGAAGGAATATGATGATGATAAGTGCCCACTACTCGAAGCATATAAATATAATGGCATGCTTGACGTTCGAATGTCATACCACCAACCTGAGACTTCAGATCTATGGATGTATTGTTTTGACAGGGGAAGCCAGTACCAGCATCCGCTTCTCATCACCAAATTACAAGTTTTGCCACGATTCATTTTTTCAGTTTCTAGAATTTTCAAAATTCCTTGATTTTCTTCTGCCGTGCTAAACCTACATCTGCATGTTCCATTTAAAAAAAAAAAAAATTGTAATCACAAATTAAAAGGCAAACAATATTTTAATTTTCAAATCAGAAAATCCAGGTCACAAATCAACATATTTTGTTGCCGAATGAATGTAATCCCAGTCTCGATCAAAAGCTGAGCAAAATATTGATTGGAAAAAAATCCATCAAAATTTGGAATTGATGGACATGACAAGATAATAGAGAGGGAGAGAGAGATGATGATGATGATGATGATGATCGACGAATAGAACATCATAGAAACCGAAACGTCTTCAGTCAAGGTATGTATCTATGCGTATATACATATATATATATATAGTTATATACACACAAAACCCTTCATTAAAGTGTACACTGAAAGAAGGGTAGCTATACATTCTTGCGGGGCTTCTTAACCGCAGAAGTCACAAGAAAAACAGACCTCACAACAAAAATTCATGCACCCGAAACATGCAAGCGCAGTGCATAGCTGCGTCAAAACCACTGCACACTGGTCATTAAGCCGGCTACAGAACTGAATGAAACACATGCAACAACAGCAATCTAGCATTCTGCCGCACAAATTTCTAGCAGCTTTCGTTATCATTTCTGAAGTTTCATGCAATTTAGGTTCTGCTGTTTCTGGTGGAAGATTCTCTGCAGTGGCCTTCAAGCTGCCAAAGCCAGCCCCCACTCTACGCAGGACTATTACTTTCTTGCCACTTGATTCACTTATCTGCACATTTAATCAATGTCATGCAGCAATTTCAATGAACATCAATGTGCATTCCTTTTTTAACCAAACAAGCAAATTTAAGAATAGGTTAGTAGTCCAATTGAAGCATGAATCGCACACCTGCTTCTCCTTCTTGGTCTCTAGCAAAACCAAGTTGGTGTACTCTGAAGGCACGCCCGTCTGCAAGCTCATTCTCTCAACCTGCAACCATACGTAACGAGCCTAAGTAACATACAAGTAACAAAAGAAGCAAATGTGCCAGGATCAGAATGGGCGAAAAAGTAAACATCTTTAACAACTGATCTATATACAGCATTAAGAGACACTGACAATTTTTATTGATCTTGAACTCCTAGAAGCACAAAAAGAAGGCAGTCATACATAATTAGTTAAAAACATCTTATAAAGAAAATTTCCCTTGTGATTTCTTGGGGTTGTGGTCCTCAACTAAACATGCTTCTTAGAATTAGAAAATCTGCCTTCATTGCTCGCCGCATGGCCAGACACATAAAAGTATCCCAATAGAGATGCACAAAACTAAGATAGCTACTAAACACTCTCCCACAATGAACTGAACTCCACCCAGAGGATTTGGCTGCTAGCTATAACTTGCCAACCTTACTTTTTGAATATATTGCCCTGTTGAGATTTCCTACAAAACATGAGAAGGAGAAGTAAAGACCAACCTTCTCCTCTAGTTGTTTATCTTCTGATAGCCACGCATTAGCTGTCAGTGCATCAATTTGACTCTTTGCGCACATCTGCAATAGAAATAGTAATCAGATTACAGAAATCCTTTTGATTGCAGCTTTCTCCAGGAAAAAACATGATCGATGAACATTTTTCTGATATCTTTTCTCATAAATTCTGTTCAATTAGTTCAAAATAAACCTCTAAAGAACCAGAGATCCATATAAATCAGTTAAGTCCATTATTTGACAGTGTACTTGTGAAACATTGTAATCAATTTGAGCAGTCGGTATCAATTATTTCCAAAAAGGAAAAGCTTTGTTGCTTCGAATGACTCTTGCTCTTGATAATTTGGATGTCTGTGAGACAGAAGGTAGACTGACTTCTTAGATACTTGGGGACCAAAAACAAATTCAAACTCTCCTAGCTGCAAAAGAGTCGAGCCATGCTTTTGAATAAAACATATGCTTTTATTTTCTTTTGTGTTTCAATTTATAACAATGTTAAGTACCAACCACAGGAGTGTCAAACCTGATTCCAAGGAAAACATCATAACAAAAAGCATAGGTTAACTTCACATGGGTCAAGTCAAAAGCATTACTCTTTCCACCGGGAAATCCTTTGCTTTCTGCACCTTTGCATCAATAACATAATTTTCCAAATCAGCCAATGTACCACGAAATTTTACAGAGTCAGGAAATTTCCCAGTGTATCTGCCTGACACAAGTAATGGACTTTCGGACACCAGGTCTGGCAGCTGAAATGGATATAACTGCAATGAGGAGAGATATAGTCACATTAGAACTGAAGAAAAGACAAACACATTACTGAGGAAAAGTACCAAAAGGAGAAATCAGATTGTTCAGCATAAACTTTAAAATATTGGTGGTAAATAGATCAAGAAGAAAAAATATCCAATTGTAATGAGTTCTGATATGTAACTTGTGCAACTAATACCACTGTATGCCTAGAAAAATATCAGGTTCAGCTTACCTCAAGTGAATCAAGCTGTTCAAGACAATCAATGGTTAAATCTGCAAGAATGACTGATGATGCTTGATCAAATAGTCTTTCCAACCGAAAGTCAATTGAATCTGGCCACATGAAATTGATGATAAAACATAAGATCTTGAATATTTGATTTATATGTTTTCAATAACTTTGAGATTAATGGTAAATGAAACTTGCATTATACCATGGTTGAAAAATGTAAATAAAATTTAACTCCAAAGTAACAACAGCACTTAAGAACTCAAATGATGATAAAGTAGATCATCCCATAAGAAGCAGATGGGCTGAAATCTCTTTCCTGTTTACTTCCACACCATTTGTCTAAAAAGAGCAAAGATCATCCATAAGCAAATGCTAAAACAAGGCAAAACATCCCTAACATGGTCAGCTCAAATAGAGCAACTCACCCATGTCATATGCAGCATCATAATAACCTCTCCCTATTTCGGCAAGCACTTGCAAGAAGTAGTGGTTACAATATGAACCTGAAGAGCGAAAAACCAATGAAGTATTACATGTTGAAATTGTCAAATAACATGGTTCAGAGACGAATGTTCAGACAAAAACATAAGAGGAGATCTTTTGAATACCCCATGAGCCACCAAGATTAAAATCACAAAGATGCAACTCAATCATTTGTCATCTAAATATGAAAATGAGTAATATGGTAATAACAAGGATCAAATGTCTGAATGAACCACTGCACAATGCAGCACCACACGTACAGATGATTTTACATGATCAATGATGTGAACAAAAAGCTTGTGATTGTAGAAGAGATGCTTATTTATGTGCCACACTTGGTTAGAGAGAAAGTCTTGCAGGGTTTGAAAGAACATAAAGACGCTTCTTTGTTTAATCTGAGGCATGTTCTATTCGAAGGGATTAGAATAAAATTGTCAACAACAAAGAAAATCAGGTAGAACTATATGGCAATGCACCTACCAATTGCCAATGTGTTAATTCGAGGAGAATTAAAGCCTCCCTCCATGGCTTGATGTTTCACGATAGCACAAATATCTCGCTCATCTTCAACACTCCCATCAGTAATGAGAAATATAAGGGAAATCAAATCGCCAGCTTTCGACATCATCTTTAGTGCCTAAAATAAGTAAGCTATAAAGGTAAATGCACATTTTGACTGGAATACTATAGCATGTGTTCACTTCAGGAAACCCAAAAACTCAAGAGATGAAAAAATTGCAAACAATGAAAAAATTAACCAATTCCGAAGATGTACTCTGCAAGTAAGAAATCTCAACAACCATCTCAGACACATACCCTACTGTAGGGATTGAAATATATTAAGACATGATATATGTGAGATTGTTCAAACAATGACAATCAAAGTACATAGGTAACCCAGACGATACATGCTAGATCAGAATATCAAAGGCACATATTTTATAGGGCAAAGGCACTGTTAGAGGATGAAATTGTTAGCTAAGTCCACAATTGTGCTCTGCTGGTAAAAATTTTAAATCTGTGTCAAAGGATGTTCATGGAGGGAATCAAGTGTACTGCAAAATAAGCTATTGTGACCCATGGTTTTGTTTTAATTGCATCAGGCTGTCATGTAGCAACAGTTAACTTACTAGGCGAAAAAGCCCAAGATTAGTTTGTTTCCTGTATCATCTCTTGAAATGAAAATTTCAGCAAATGTAGTCAAATAAAAACAAAAATTACATATATAAATTCATGACCAAGTTCTTTAACTACCTGACTTAGGGGAAGTGAAATATTTGTACTGCCATCTGCTACAACATTATTAGCAATCCATTGACTAGCATTTTCAATCACCTCCTTGGTTGCCAGCTCCATGGACGATGAAAACAATAAGCTAAGACCATTAAAAGCAATAATGTTAAAACTGTCTGCTGGGTTTAGCTTGGACAGTGCGGTTAGCACTGCAGCTTTGACTTTATCCAGAGGGTCTCCTCTCATGCTCGCACTTATGTCAACTACAAATATGACTTCCTTTCTGAAAACCTGCAAAATCAGAAAAAAGGTAATGAAGAGAGGGCAACCACATGTGCCATGAAATATAAAGATGGAGGATGACAGGCACAAAAGCTATTACACCAGATAGTAAGGGGAGGGATGTATTCCTGTTACAAAACTAAGCACCATTTTAAGCAGAAAAAGTTAAGTCTGGCATATTCTACCTCGGACTAGATAAACTGAGGCTCCCTAAACTAGCAACAAAGCTGAAGGGTAGAAGACCATGAGCAACTCATTCAAAACAAACACTGTCTACACGCAAATATAAATGCCCGTCTATATCCACAGTAAGGGAAAAAAATTAAGCATCCCCTAATAAGCAAAACTTTGAAAGTCGCATATTCTAATGGAGTGGCATAAGAACAAAGTTTATCTGAAACCAAACTCAGGAAAAGCAAACAAAAGTATATGTCCTGCATGATGAAGGAAGAGAGTTAATATCATCTGGTATTCTATAAATAGCAACTGCCTGCCACATTTTCTAGCTTTTGACATCAAAGTCGGACCTTCAGAAGTGAAGAATTTGGGCCATTTAACTAAATACCCTTGCAGACTACATATAGGTGAAAGTAGGAAAATAACGTTCTGGGAATACGAGGCCAAACAAAAAGCATTATTCTGCAAACATGAACATGAAATGTAAAAGACTTGCCTAAAAGAAAAAACTGTTACCTGACCGAAGCATTTATGGAGAAAGGACATATAAACTATGAGAAGATCAACTGTCTAACCTTCCTGTTATTAGTATTTCCAGGGTACAGATAAAAGCAAAACATGTCTCTCTGGTCAAAGTCATGCAGAGGAGGTGACTGCAAGAGCACACCACCAACTATGTCATTTGAAGAAACCTGAAGCAGTCATCAGAAGAAATATACAAGTCATTTCATCACCAGGTTTCTGCATCTCAAACAATCAAACTCACCATCATCCAAAGATCTGCTTAGGCAGAATCGATGCAATTAAACAGTCATATAAAACTCGTGATCAATGTTAAGTGGCTTACACTGTATATGAAACTGAAGTCATTTATTGACCACATAGAAGCTTCCCTCTCATATGAAAATTGTAGTTTTCCAGCTTGGCGACTTACTTGCTGTGAAGCAATTTGTTTGGGGAATTAAAATCACTTCAGTATATGATTTGAGTAATTAAAATTTAGAAAACATAGATACCTTTAAAGGATGGCTAGAACTTTTGCAGAAAATCTCCACCGCAATACCAGAGTTCACATTCAACAGTATCTTTTCAATTTTAGACACCTTCTTCCCAACAGGGGTGACGTACTGGGGAAAAGTGAACGGTATCTTGAGGCACAATTGATTATTTTGGCACAACAATTTCTGGGACCAACTGATCCTGACTGAAAGCGTACATCCTCCATCAACCTGAAAAATGCAACAGTAAATCCACAGTTACCCTTATTTAACAAATATTTAACTGAGAAGTTAAAAGCAGCAGAACGCAAAATCAATAACCAAATATAACTGAGTGTACACCTGAGGAATCTTCAAAGTATATATGTGGCCTTTCAACAAGAAGCCATCTTTAGCTTTATCTGCTTCTCTGTCTTCCTCCAATGTTGTCAATTGTGTAGAGTACGATCTCAGAGGGCATTCAACTTGAACACCTAGAATTGAACCCTGTTAGCCAAATGATGATACTTGAGAAAATTACGTTGGAGAAATTCAAAAACTGGCAGAAACACCATTTTGCAGGTTGAGCTAGTTGCAAAAAAATTAGCAGTAGAAAACATACAATAAAACAGAAACAACAGAATACAAAATTAAGCCACACACAAATTTCCTCCACGATCTATCTAATCACACACATATTGAATGGCCAACCAAAAAGCGTAGACACAGAAAAACCAATAGCATATAGACCGGCTCGTTTTAAAAACAGGGGTACGATCCTTACTATCTTCGTTTCCCTTACTAATTCAGTAATTCTACTCCCAGCTTTCTCCTTTCCAGCACCTGGCCTTCTAAACAAGCATAATAGCCGTTCATTTCATCTTCCCAGGAAAATATGATAAAATAATTCAACAGAAAGTAAGTAGAGACCTTTTCGCCCATTGGGACAGCGATGCGGCAGTCGCAGCTTTTACTAGCAGTAACACAATGCAGCCGCCAAGTACCGGTGACAGTTATAAAAGCAGTATCCAAATAACAGTCAACCTCCATGGCCACTCCATGCATGTGCAGCGGAATCAACGCCGGGGGCTCGCACCTGCCATGAACGTACGGCTGGTAGCTGGGTATGTCAGGATTATCCACCATTGACGGCTCTGATATCACTGCATAAACCATCGGCCCCGTAGGCAAGAGCGGCCAATTAGTCTCTGACTTTCTCTCCATTACCGCAGGCGCCGGTGCCGAACTCTCTTTCCCGTAGAAAATTCTCTTGGATAGCTTCAGACCAAACTCAACTGATTTTGAGAACTGGTCCGCCATTTCTTCTTTCTTTTCTTTTTTTCTTTTTTTTTTTTAATTTGGGTTGTTAATATGAGAGATCGATGAGGATGAATTAGTTAACGTGGGCTGTTAAAAGAAGTGAAGATGAGGAAAAGGACTAAGTTGATGCCGGCTGGGCTGGAGCAGAGTAGACGTCCGTTGTGGGAGAGAGCACTACTAGAAAGACGCATTTATTTTTCCAATGCGACTGATGATTGATGGGCTCTTCTTTTCTGTGGGAATGAAGAAGAAAAAGATGAAACAAGGAAGACGAGAGGAGCTTCCTTCCTCTACTGCCAGTATTAAGAATTACTTACTTCTCTACTTGTATGCACTGGTGGTGGTGGTTACTAACTAGTGGTGATTGGCTTTTGGGCAATGGACACATTTGACGTGGGATAGGTGTATGCTAGCACCTTTTTTTAGTGTTTTTTTTTTCTCCCTTTTAATAGGACTTTTATGTAATTTCACTGCTGTTTTGGCACATATTGAGAAAGAGAACGCTGAGTTTGTTTATGCTAGAATTTCAGTCAATGGTTATTTGCTACCATGTTTTAAAAATGCTTGGGGACTTGTATTAGGTGAGCACTAAGAAATAAAATAATGATGATGAATGAACAAAGCTAAGTATGTTCATTTGTGTGGGTTATTGGGTTTTTTTTTTATTATTTGTGGGTTATTGGGTTGAAAGTGATCAAGATAAGCATATTCTCAGTCATTCAAGAGGAGTTAAAACGAGCTTTCTTGCTATTCATCAAAGAGGTATAATTAGATATCGTGAAGATTCAAGAAAGTAAGGTATCGAGTTGAAATATTTAATTGCCTGCCAACCAATTTTACAATTGAAGATATACCAAGCATAAGTTAAATTTTTTTTTTTTTAAAAAGGTGTCTGTTTGGATTGGCCTATTTTTAAAAACAAATTTTTCAAATATAATACTACAGTAATACACAAATAAAAATAACTCAAAAAATATCTCATTCATATAATATATCAAATATTTCAAAAAACATCCTATAGTATCGATTTGAAATATTTAATTGCCTGCCAATTAATTGAAGATATACCAAGCATAAGTTAAAATTTTTTTTAAAAATATGTGTCCATTTGGGTTGAGCTATTTTTTTAGAAACAAGTTTTTCAAACACAATACTACAATAATACACAAACAAAAATAACTCAAAAAACATTTCATCCATATAATATATCAACCATTTCAAAATCCATCCGATAGTAAATTTTTTTTTATATATGCTACTATAATAAAATATTTTTAAAACACTCTCGAAAAACAGCTAATCCAAACAGTTAGATGCTTTCTTGTTTGAGTTAACCTACCCCCATCCCCTCCCAAAAAAAAAAAAAGAAAAAGAGCTAGTCACAGTCCTTTGTCATCTCTATTTTATTTATTATGGTCCATCGAGAGTACGTGCTGGCCTCTCCTCTCCGATTTTCATTAACTCAGACACAAGTCAGTCTCCTTGTTGTGAGGGTATAAATGAAGACACCGAGGTATCTCTTACTTTCTTTCTTGTATTAGTACATTTTGAAGCGGTGCTCATACTTGAATAATTTAAGAGGTGATGCAAAGCAATAATATATTACTCGTACGTGGTCAAGCGGATGACTTGATTAGTGTCTGCCACACCGATAATGATGATTAATGTGTGGCTAATACGCATGATGTCTTGTCACACTTAAAGGTCAAAAGAAGCGAGCACCTACCGGCCCGAGAAAATGCAAATTGATTCGGACCACGGTGGTCCAAGGTGGCTGGACCTATTGACTATTGTGCCGTGGCGATGGCAACAGAAATTCGACAGCGCACAAAACTGCAAAAGGACATAGCAGTCCAAGTTTTGGGCGTACAAATAGACAAATTCAATGTCAAGGCTTTTTCCGGTTTACAAACAGCAAAATTTTCCTCGTCGCAGCAACTCATAATTGTGGGAACTGAGTCGTGACTCTGGAGTGCACTTGAAAGTGAAAGGTGGAATATTTGAAAATTAAATATAGGATACTAATTTTAATACGCGAAAAAACTTTGGAATGATTTCAAAAACCTCCCCTAAAGTTTCTGACAATTTTACTGCTCTCTCCTGAAATTTTTAAAATATCATTAACCTTCCTTAAAATTAATGCTCTTGTAACAAATCAGCCCAATTCAAAAAAATCAATAATAAAAAAATGATTTCAAGAGTGAGAAGAATATTTCATACCAAAAGTACCCCTTATTTTATTACTAGTTGGTTGACTTAGAATCAAAAGGAAATATTAATTAAAAATATAACAATAAAGGCTAAACTCTAGCATGAGTATAATAGAATTTAGTAACAATGATTATTTTTCACAAAACATCATGAAATAGCAAAATCAAAGTATTGGAGATGAAAACTTGTTAATTTGGAATCAAGAATTCCTAAACATTTAGTATCAAAATTTGAAAGATTTTAAATAGGAATTGAACAAGACGATGTATGGCCTTTTCAAGAAAAAAAAAACATCACAATAGATAGCTAATGATAAAAAATATAAAATACACTAAAATATGTTATTTTTTAATTATTTTTTAACTTATAGGGTCCATTATTTCACATGATTAATAAGAAATTTCCATCATTTGTAATTTAAAAAAAAACTACTCTCAAGCAACGTTTGGATTAATAAAATGTGTATGATTTTAATGCAAAAAAAATCAAAATATAAATTTTTTTTCTGACAATCTTGTTTGGATTACATATAAAAAGAAAATAAAGAAACACCAAATATTTTGAAAAAAAAAAAAGAGGAGAGAATAGATTATGTGTAATTACATTTTATTCATAACTTAATAAAATCTAATTGTAAACATATTTTAATACTTTACCCTCTTTTTTGTGTATTTTCATATTCATCTTATTATTCTTATGAAAAATTATGAAATAATAATATTTCAATTGAAATTTTAATCATTTTTTAGGAAAAAGAAATTACGAGAACTACTAAAATGAAGAAAAAGAATTTTAAAATGTTAACAATTATCATTATAAAATTTAGAATTCAAGATTTTCAAATTTTTTATGTTCCAAATCATGGTTAATTTAGTGCAAGTGACTCGATTGTTTCTCTGCATATAACTACATAATATTTCCTAAATTGTAAGGATAATAAAGTCATTTAATCATCCATGAGATAAGCATCGGATCCCAAATAGTAGCATATAAGGAAGACAAGCGATACTTTTACAGCGCTACTATTGTATTGCAGAGGATATACCGTACCGTCGATATGGTAACAGTAGAAGCGCTGTTGATTACGGAGCCATCCATGTTTTTCTTTCTTAACTTTAGACATGTCTTTTACGACCCACAAAAATTAACAAAAAGAAATCGAAAAAGTTTACGTTGTCACTTGTCTTGTCTTGTCGTAAAATATTTGAAATTGACCTGTTGACAACAATAGAGAACGCGTGAATAATGCGGAAGATCAAAAGACGAGAACGACAAATTATATGAGATGCTAGTAACCAATTACAATAATACATGCACAGATGGATTCTGTTCAGTTTGGGCCATGTGCAATCATCCCTCTTAATTGCATCTAAAACCTAGGCGCTCGGGTGGACTTCGCGTTCTTCGTTAAGGCGCTTGTCCTGATTTCGATTCCACACTTGGGCAACTCGGGGTATTTTCTTGAGGATCGGTGGGGTCCGCCCCCCTCAGGCGAATTAGTCGGATGGTTCCGGATAGAGGTGGCAATATGGATAAATGGTTCATAATTGGTTTTGATTTAATGGATGGTGGATTAAATTTATCCAATTCATTTAGATCCATTTAATAAATGGATCTAAATGGATGGATCAAAATGTATTAAATAAAAACCAATTATCCATTTATAATCCATTTAAATATTTTTGTTACTTTTTTTTTGTATTACCATTTCTTGTAAATTCAAGCCACAAAATACCACGGATGTAAATTCAAGCAAAATGAACCTTCATTTCACTAAAAAACTATCTGAAAATATTATTATTATTATTATTTTTTATTTTTATTATTATATATGTATATATATATTACATATTACAGAGTAGCCATATATTGCAAACTAGCCCAAACAATAGAAGCCCTGCATAGACCGTACGTAGGGTATCTACAAATTCGGCATCCATGGAATTTAATTATGGCCCATATTATCTTCTACTTTTAGCCTTGACTGCATTTAAATTTATCTCAAATTCGGCATTTCCCTCTCAATTAATTAAGTCCAAGAACAGATACCAGTTTTCTGTTGTACTTTAAAAAATAAGAGAGATCTTAGAACAAGTAAAAGTTCATAGATATATGATTCAAGTGGATTAATTAACCGATTTGTAAACTTATTAATGTGTTTGTTACCAAAAAGAAAATGATCAAATTTACCCCTCCTAATTCAAAATCCTCTCATGGTCTGATGTTGACCCACTTTCTTAGCAAATGAATTAGATTTCACTAAGTGAAGAATTAAAATAAACTAGTAACTCACCTTATTCAAAAATGCATTTAAATGAATAACTATATTTTTCTTGTTCTAGTTACTAGTTCATGTAAGCAAAATTTTCACACCCCAATTGCAATTTTAGGATGGCTCCTTTTTTTAGTCATTTCCTTTCCCTCTCTTTTATTTGGTTTTTAAGTAAATGGATATATATGATTTTAGTGGATAATCCATATAAATCCATTTAATTTAATGGTTTTACTTTGATCAACCATTTAAAACCAATACTATAAATGGATAATCCATTATCCATTTAATTATGGATTATATGGATGGATAAATGGATTTCAATCCAAATTGCCGCTTCTAGTTCCGGATACCTCCAGTGTTGACAAAAAAAAAAAAATGCATCTAAAACTCGGAAATTAAAATCTCATCCAACATGAACAGTCTCTTCATTAAAAAAAAAAAAAAAGAAAAGAACAGATTCTTAAAAGATGTCACTCACCTGACACTTGATTGATTGATAAACACATCCAGCAAACTAGCTGACGTGTTCTGCTTATCGCCTTCCGACCAGCATCGATTCTAATGCTCCGGAATGAATCTAGTCTCGTTTTCATGCACAAGCTTTTTGAACCGTCATATTTTATGCTACTGCTCAACTCTCATTAGCTTTAATCTTGCGAGTTCAAATCAGGGAGACACCACCATGGTCTTAATGCGATAGCGCATCAAGAAGTTTAGAAGAACAGAATCGCTGACCAGACCAGAGTCCACAATAGGGAAACCCTTTTGGAACATAAAAACACGTAGATACCAGACAGAAAACCATGTCCATGACCATAGGCTAGTTTTAGAGACAGAAAATCATGTGTATGACCATAGGCTAGTAGTTTTGGAGCACGAACACATGACAGGGCACTTCATTTTGCTGGGATCCCAGGCAAGTTCGACAAAACATTTGCCCATCAAAGTGGCACTGGTAGGACACACCCAGTGGGACAACTGTAGCCGAAATCCCACCCGCTTTTCAGCACACAAAATGACGAATCTATCACAACTGCCTTTTACTCAAAATACAGAGTGTATCCCTTAATCAAGGCACGCATTCCTGAGAAAAGGCATGGAGGGTCAAGGCTTCACATAAAGCCCCTTGTACGCCGCCCATATGCCCACAGCCGCCGAGGCAGCATAAAAGTGAGACATGCCTAGAGCTAATTCTGTGAACAGCAATGGGCCCTCAAGCATTTAAGATGGCATCCCCAGTTCAGCCAACTACAAGTGTGTTTAGATAGAGTATTATTTGAAATACAATTAGTATCTTTTTATAATGTAAAATAAAAATATGGTCGAGAAAATAAAAAACACATTCAAAAACGTATTTGTGATGCAATCAAATAGCTTTTTACTGTTTGAACAACAGATTATTTGGTCAAATATATTTATTTATATTATTATTATAATTTTCAATATACCTTTTTATCTTTTTAATTATCTTTTTATCTCACATACATCATATCACAAAAAATGCTACAGTAAAAATATCTCAAATAATTTACAATCCAACATAGAAAATCAATTCAACCCCCAGTTACCTCAAGCAGAAATTAAACCAGAATAACCAGGGGGCAATTTGATTGTCCCTACAAGTTGAGCTTCAAAACCACAGGTAGCTCATACTAGGTTTGACTACAATGTCTCATGAGACCAAAATATTCCCAACCCCCCCCCCCCAAACAAAAAAAAAAAAAAGTTCATTCGTCAAATGGAGGCGAAGAACAGCACCAAGTCCATCCCTAACGGTACTGCAATGTTAAAGGAAACACAGAGTTAAGACACCAGCATAACAGACATTTGAGATGCAAAATAATGGGATTGAAGCAAGAAGCACACACAGAACATCAGAGACAGAACAAAAACAAAAGGCCAGACTATCACATTCCCTTCACTTTCACTGTGTCTTTAGTTGCCCAACCTAATTAGGCCAACAGAAAGAGCCTGAAACACATTACGTTCTGGTAAGGCTTGAAAATTGAATTACAGCCGAAAAGTCAACATTTTATCAATTTAAATGCAACACAATGTTGATAATTGGTGCCTTCAAAATTTTGTAAAAGCATCATTGTTCTCATAAATTTAGGCTGAGAAACGTTTAAGATACTATTAAGTTCCTTAGCTATAGCGATTAGTCATACCAAGAACCCAACTTTAAGGAACCTAAAACGGCCAAAGGATACACCAATCCACAAAAATCCTGTGAGGTACATTTAACCTCAAAGCACCGAGACAATGCATAACCAGTAACCGGTATTCCACCTATGATTGGAGAAAGACAGAACAACAGACAGGAGGCACGACAATTGTACGAAACAACCATACACTATCGAAGGGGGAAAATTAAGAAAACCTCAGAGTCTCTACAAACCACAAACCAAGTTTAAGTTGGCAACTAAGAAAAGTATGCTAATAAACCAGAGGTATATCGAGAGCAATTAATTGCAGAAGGCAGGTGAAGACCTAATAAAAGAACATACACCTTAATCACCCAGACGCTACCCTCAGATCAGCAGAAGCTAAAAAACCACAAAGATCGTACAGAGCTAACGAAACTAATACAAGCTGCTTAAATGATAAAACTTGCTCAATCAAAAGATTAAAAAATAAAAGTAAACAAAAAATTAAAACAGACCTTGATGAAGCCAATTTCCTTAGCGTTACTGCGGAAGCATTGTCTGCAACACATGAGCCCGTACTTCCTGATTATCCCATGGGAGTTCCCGCAAACGCGGCTGACCAATTTGATCCAACCCCCAAAAAATAAGATAAAATAAAATCATCACCAGCTCTATTCAACAGAATATCAATAAAAGCTACTCTTTTTAAAACATAAATAAAAAGACAGAGAGATATAGAGGATGAACAAAAGCCAAATCTATCAATTGCTAGATTATTAAATTGATGAGGAGATGCGCAGAGATTCTAAGTACAGGGGTCAAACTAACCAAGCGCGTGAGCCAGGCCCATAGTTCTTGGGGTGAGCGTTCCAGATGTTGGAGTGTCCCATTCTTCTCCCTCTCCTTCTTCTTCTTCTTCTTCTTTGCCGCTAAAGCCTTTGGAGTGAAGAAACCCTAGCTAACTTCCGATGCCTGGCTGGTGGCTATTAATGAAGGGTAAACTGAGGTAAATACCGAAGTAAAAAGGACCCCACTAAAATGGATTGAACGTTAAGGGAGGGTAGGGTGGTGTAAGTGTGTAGTGGAGTCCAGATGTGGTTAATGTAGACCGCCAAAGTGCTCCAGTCCTATTGGCTATTCATTCTAATATGTTGCGTGTGAGTTGTGACAACTTGACAATTGTACGTACACAACCAGTGGGAATACAATTGTCAGTGTGAGATTGTGAAACTTTTGATATAGGCTTTAAATACCCAAATGTAGATTAGCCAGTTATATTGCCAAAATGTGTTTGGATCGATTATTATTTTGAAATAGATCTAGAATAATTGCTGTATTACTTTTGTTTTGTGATGTATGTTATATAAAAATTAATTAAAAAATATATTTGTAATGCTAGTAAAATAATATTTAAGAAAATTTTCATTAAAAAATTGTTTCATGGCAATACAAATTGCACTGTGAATCAAATGATAAAGAGTAAATTCATCTTGTTAACAATAAATCAAGGATTAGGGTTTTTGTTCATTTTTTTGTGCTCCTTTTTTTTAAAAAAGGTATTACCATATCTATTTTTGCATAAACACGTATGTAATATAAAAAAATTACTTAAAAGTGATTTGAGATTCTTTCTAAAACTAATTTTTGGAAAAAGAAAAAAATCGTTTAAAATGTTTTTTATAATTTATCAAATGAATTTTTTTACCCTTTACTTTTAAACTATTGATTTTGCATCTATTGTAAAATCAAGTTCACTAATTTTGATCCCAACCTAAGTTTATTGGTGCTTTATAGCTTGGATGCACTGCATGACCCGTATGTACAAAGAGGTCGAATCACATTTTTTTACAGGCAAAAATGAATGTGAACTTGATGATTTATTTAACCACGTATGTAATTTTACCTTTGTGTCTCAAATAAGTTATAAAGTGGTCAAAAATTTAGGTCGGAACTACATTAAGCTAATTGGATTTTGTAAGTGAGGTAAAGTCAACATCTTAAGAATAAAGAACAAAAAAAATTCATTTGACGAGACGTGATCAAAATTTTAAATGATTTTCCCTTTGAAAAAAAACACATATACACATTAATTTCATGGTTAATGACTATTATTATTATTGTTCGGATCATGATTCAACCTTCTTTTGATTTTGCATTAAGTATATGAAGATAGACCACCTCGCGTTTTTTTCCGTAATGTCTTTTGAAACCATTTATTCCATTATGTGCTTAAAGAAATAAATGACATATTTTAGATGATTGGAAAATCATTGCACATGCATATAGTATTATAGTGTAGCATAAGAGATACGGATTTACCACATAAACATATAGCGTAGCACAAGAGTTTCTTTAAAGTTGTAAAGTTGTTTGGATGCTTGTGTTTGGGTGGGAGGTTATTTTAAAAAATTATTTAAAATTATATTGTAACACTTTTTATGAGATGAAGTGTTTGAGATAAAAAAAAAATTTGAAAGATGTAGTTATGATGCAAGTGAAATAATATTTGTGAAAAAAATTATATCTGCTTTTTTCCTTTCAAGGGAAGTGTTTTTCTAATAATTTATGCTATTGGGTATTATTGTAGATCTTTTAGTTTAGCATTTTTTATTATTAATTGCAGTTGAGATAAAAAATTTTAAAAAATGGTTGAGGTTATTTAAGAAAAAATAAAAGCAAAAGGAAATTTATTTAAAGTGTCTCTTACATTTTGTCTTTTTATTTTTATTTTATTTTTATTTTTAAAATTTTAACTTTACGATTCTTACAAATGCAAGCAAGCAAATTTTGGTTCCAATCTACCTTTTCAACAATTTTTTGTAACCCATATGTCATCATTTTTTTTTTGTGTGCAAAAAAGTCAGATTCCACTTTTTTAGTAATAAAAATAAATATAAATTGGATCATATTCTACTTTTTATAGGGAAAAATGAATATAATTTGGGTCATTTGTCTCATAACGAATGAAATCTAACTTTTTACTCAAAAAAAGAAAAAAAAAATTACGTGTGAGACATACAATGGATTCAAGGTAAAAAGTTATTAAAAATATGTGTTTGAACGAAATTTTATCGACTTAATTTTATAAGAGATTTAAAGTTATTATTTTAAAATTGAATAATGAAAAAATTAATTTGACAAAATTCCACGTGCATCTGAATTAAGCAAACGGGTTAAAAGGTTCGTCAAAACCTCAAAATCCCCGACGAGGCCTAAATTCCCGCAAATCCAAATCCAAATCCAAGTACAGAATACAGGGTAGGACTTATAGAAGAAGAATAAAGAAGGAAAATTCAAAGGAAAGGACGTCTTCTCGTACACACCAATATAAATTCCGTTACTTAACTTGTTAACTTCAATTTTGAATACCTTGGAATCAAAGCTATCATCTAATATTCATCACCAATAAATTTCCTAAATTCCCGTAAGTATCGGATTTCCCCAGGTTTGTTATTTCCTATGTCTATCCAGTATTCTTCTCCGCAATTGAATCGACTTTTACATGTCCCTCAAAGTTTGGACCTTTAGGGTTTTGCTTTTTCATATTTTACTCATGTACAGGTCAGGTTTTGATGTTAATTTTTTTCATCTTATTCCTTTCCGTATTTGATTGCTGTTCATCGTTGGTTTAAATTTGACCGAAAAGAAAAATCCCAATTAACCTTTAGGTGGTTTGACGGTACTGTGATTTTTTTAGTTATTTGGTCAAAAGGGTGGCAGAAATTTTGGGGAGCTTTGTTCAAAGATGCTTGCTTACTGAGCGTGAAAGTTTGGGCAATCAAAAAATTTGTTTGCTTGCTTGAAAGATTATGCTTTTACGTGAAAGCACAAACTTTTAATGCTTATTGTTTTGCTTTCTGATTTTATTTGGATTTTTCAGCAATCAAAAAGCTGAGTTATGCTCGAAAGCCTATTTGTTTTTCCTTAAAGGCACTAACTGTTTGATATATATTGCGTTTAGTAGTCAATCGATGAGGGGTAACTTTTGCTTGTACTGTCTACAATACTTGCATTCTGAAAGGGTAGTTACAGCTTGAAATCTTGCTGCTTTGCAATTGATTGTAAGTTCGGAAAAGATAAAC